TTGAAAGAACAAAAGTTTAAGGTAGGAGTGTTGATGATTGATGTTTTTGATAAGTTTATGCACGTAGTGCCAATAAAGAGCAAACAGGAAGGTGATGTAGCTAGTGGAATGATTGAATGCCTAAATAAGATGGAGAAAAAGCCAAAAATAATTTATACAGATGATGAAGGCGCTTTGAACAAGGAGGCAATACAAAAGTATTTGAAGGATGAGAACGTAGAACACCACAGAACAAGAGCACATCCAAATTTTAGCGAGAGAGCCATCCGAACGTTTAAAGATATGCTTTATAAGCGGGTTGAAGCGGATGAAAAAAAGGGGAAGGACAATATACAATGGACAGATTACATCCACGAAATATTATTAACGTATAATAATCAAATGAAACACTCGGCAACGGAATTTACCCCAAAAGAGGCGCGAAAGCCCAGCAATGAATTGAAAGTGAGACTAAATTTAACGATGAAGGGAAAGAAGAACCGCGTGTATCCCGAACTGGATGTTGGAGATGAGGTTAAAATATTTAGGAAAAGAAAACCAAACGAAAAAGAACGCGTGGGAAATTACAATCAAAATATTTATACTATAGAGAAAATTGAAAATAAATTGGGTCAAAATTATTATAGAGTTGAAGGCAATAAAAGGCAGTATTTGAGATTTGAGTTGTTAAAGGTGTAGTAGGCTTCTCTTTGGAATTTTCCGTGGCTTTGCAACTTAATTTGAGAGTGTTCTACAACTTACCTTGAATTCCGAGCGCATTTTTTGACCTGCCCACGGCTGAATATTGTAAGACCCTAAATGCTGAAATTTCAAAGCTTCTGGGCGGAATTTATTCTGGCTCCCCTACAGATTAAATTCTGCCCTACATACAGAATTCATTCTGCGCAGAACTTTTAAATATTCCTTCGAGAATATTAGAAAATTCCGGTTGGATTTTTTCAAATTCCTCTTCGAATGTCGGAAATTTGTTTCGGAGTAGTAAGCCGAATGCAAGAAAAGGTCGCAACCAATTGTGTTTTTTGAAGTTGAGCATCAGTTGCCTCGGCTCAAGCCGTAATTTGCAAGGGGATCGTGCACGCAAGTGTGTGTCATGCCAGCGTATGCTAACACCTGATCCCAGCAAAGATTACACAAGACACAGTTCGTGCATGGGGCGCCATTTTGGCGCAGACAGTATGGAATCATGCGTATTTCTGAAACATACTTTCAGACGTGCATAGTTTGTCCATTTCCCATGCCATGACGGCTCATCCACAGAAGAAGCAGAAGCTCGAACCCAAACTCGACGATGCCTGGATATTGGCACAATTTGATGGCATGACGGTGCCTGATGAAGACAAACGAGAAGCTGCAGCAGCCTACAAGGACATGACAGCGAGCAACATTGTCCGTGCTCCGTTTCCCGACGTGGCGGGGATTTTTGCCACCGCCTCAACTGATACAATCCGGAACGACTTAGTCTTGCGCTTGAGAATCCGTTTAGCCGAACTTGACGTGCAAGCTCCTGCCACTTGGGTCGAGTAGAACAGCCTTCTCCGTCAATTGTGTTGCTTTATTCACAAGCTCCGCCCCAATAGGCTTTGTTACTTAGTTGATCTGCATACTTATTAGGTTTAGGGTTTGGCTCTTTGGTTGTAGCGTAGTGGTTTATTCCCCCTAGGTTTGGTTTCCTCGTAGGGTTGCCCGATTGGGTTAGTTGATTGGGTTGCTTTGTCGGGTTTAGGGGTTTTCTTCTGTTTTGGGCGAGGCTGGTTCAGCGACGGCGTTGCCGACACCCTCTTCCGAAGGCAAGTTCGATATTCCCAAGGTCGAGGACAAGGATTTCAAGGAAGGCAAACTGTTGAACGTTTCAGGCTTCGCCCCGTTGTGCCTTGGGCGAGCGCTCTCATTATATAGGTTTTGATAAGATTTTTAGTTTAGATTTATCGGTTGTTCTGTTTAGGGTTGGTTGTCGCGCTGTTGTAAGGCTGGCGAAGAACACGGAGGCTGACAAACCGATATTCCTTCGGGAGCACCTTCTTCAAGTGCATGATGTATCAGTGGCTACGTTGAAAGACAATGGGGACAAAATGTTGGTTTCGCTTGTCGGTTGTCCTGGAACAGGCAAGACGTGGTGCGGATGGCTGGTGGCGAACACCCTGCAGTGCAAACACAAGGTGCAAGTGCTGCACCTGACCATCAGAGGCACTGATGTCATTGCCATTTGGGCATCAGATGGACGTTACCTAAAGAGCACCTACGAGAAGGTTGATGTTTGGACGTCCAGCATGTTGGGACAGGTCCTCACTGACAGCAAGTGCCAAGTCTGCATCATTGACGTGGGCGACCTCTTCTCCGACGAAGTTAAGAAGATTTTCCGCGCAGTGCATCACATTCTTGAGAAAGACTCCAACGTCATCAAGTTCATGGGCTTGGTGTCTGGGCATGGGCAGGAGGACATCATTGGCAAACAGTCCAACATCCTAGGCATGACTCAAAAGCTGGTGCTGTGGAGTTGGTTTGAGCATGAGTTCCAAGCATATTGCAATGCGACGAAGATGACGGCCGACGTCTATGCAATTTGCGGCGGTTCCGTTCGCAATTGCTTCCGTCCGAAGCAGGACATGTCCGAGATTTTCGATGCTGTGAAAAAACTGAGTCAGGATGAGAAGGACGGATTCCTTATGGTCAACACCCGTCCTACCAATGATGCCGAGCAGAAGCAGCGCTCTCACTTACTTGCCTTCTTCCCAGCGAACACGGACTCCGATTTCAAAGATGGTGTGGCTCATGCGAATCAAGTCCCAAGGTCCGACTACGTCATTCAATGCATCAGAGCAGACACCCAAGGCAGTCCCAAGCGAGTCAAGGAGATGTATCACATGTTGTTGCCTTACAACCCGGGTGCTGCGGGAACTGCTTTTGAGATGCTGGTGCATTTCGTTTGGAAGCATGTCGTTGAGACCAAGCTCGACGTGAACTTGAGGCTGGATTGGAGGCACGATGATAAGCCAATGCAGAGCATCGAAGTCAAGGGTGGCGAGTTGCAAGGCTACAATTCGCAAGCAATCGAGGAATACGAGAACGAAGAGAAGATTGCGGCTGATGGCTTGACAGGGTATTTTACTCCGAAAGACTTCAAGTATCCGGTGTTGGACAGTCTCCTCCGATACAAGCATGGTGACGCAGTCATGGTTCTCGCAATCCAGATCAGTATCGCCAAGACGCATCAACATGGAGAGCCAGTTCAAAACACGTTGCTGAAAGAGGAAGCCGAGGGGGAACCCAAGCCAAAGCTGGCGCTCTGGGATTTCAAAGCAGAGGGCAAAGAGTGCAAATGGACACCGACCACCTCGGACTATTGGGATTTGATGTATGTGGAATGCGAGGCATTTGCACGATGGTTTGAGCAAATCTGATGAGAAGCAGATGTTACAACACAGCTCGTATCCTACATGTTTCACCGCAGGATGCGCAGAGACATCCACGGGCAAAAGGCAACACGGGTTGCAGACCGAGGTGCTGAGCATGTGTGTCCACGCTGCAATCACCCTTAACCCCAAACCTAAATCCTGTTATTGTTATTCTATTTGAGATGATAGAGTGCGAAAGCACTCCAGCAAGGCGTAGCCTTGACCATTTCCATTTCCGCGGGTTAGGGATTTAGGGTTGGGAATATGGGCTTTTCTATGGGGGTATTGGTGTATGGGGTTTAGGGAGGGATTTTTCTATGTGGATCTTGATGTGGGTCTTATGGTG